TGTATTATTATTATTATAACATTTCTATGCCGCCCCTTGCCGAAGCCTCGGGGCAGCTTACAACACAATAAGATACATTGAAATACAATAGAACATAATAAATTACCACTAAATACAAAAATACAAAAAATACACTGAGATACAATAATAAAAATTAAAATTAACAGTATAAAATAAGTAAATAAAGAATATAGGAGGAGAAAAGAGAAGGAAGAAGAAGTTGCCCTGGCCAGATCATATATTTTAACAATTAAAATGATGTTTAAATAAAATGTTGTTTAAAAGAAGAAAGACGTGGGCCAAAACCAGTAGCATATTTAGCTTGAAGATCTTACTCAGGTTTGGTGTTTCTCTGCATGACATGTGCATTGTGCACTTGTGATATCCTTACTCATGCCCTACACCGCAATGTCCTTTCCCACAGCAGCTCTCTGATGCTTCCCAAGCATTTTTAGGGCAAAGATAGTGTAGTATTCTCTGGAAATGGCAGGTTAAACTGGAATGAGAAGCTGGGATACTTTCTGTCTTGCTAAACTGCAGCGCCGGCTTGTGATTGTGTATGGGGCACTTGTGAAGACACAGTGGGTCTCTGAAAAGAAGCCTCTTTTGCTGAAATGGAGTGCAGCATTCTATGGACCTGGTATTTCTGCTAGGATTACGACAGGCAGGAAAGAACCAACACACAGGTCTTTCACAGGAAAATCAGTATAAATTCATGTCAAAGGAATTATATTACATTTACAGCTTGCCTTTCTTCCACTTGCAAAGAGCTCAAGGCAGCTTACATAGTCCTCTTTCTCCAATTTATCTTCACAATAACCCTGTGAGATGGGTTTGGCTGAAAGTCAGCAACTGGCCCAGTGAGCTTCATGGCCAAGTGGGGGCTAGACTTGGATTTCCCTAAGTCCCAGTGCCCAACTCCTTTTTTTTAAAGTAAGATTTATTGTTATTTTTCTATTAACTAACAAAAAGAAACTAAAAATCATCAATCATCAAAAGCATCAGACCTATGTCGGCCTCCCGTACTTTTTTTTTATAGTTCCATAAACATATTTAAGTCTATGCATAGTCCCATTGCTCTAGCCAACAATAAAAGGAATTCCAAGTTTGATAGACGTCTGTATGCTCCTCCACCTTCAGGGACAATCTGTCTATTTCGGCACAGTCCAAGATCTTTTTTAGAATCAGTTCATCGGTAGGTGGTTCTTCACTCCTCCAATGTTGTGTCAACTCTTAGCAACTCTAACACCCTGGCTCTCCAGAAAATCCACACTGCTAACATCACTGGTCTATTGACACAAGTGGAAGAAAGAAAGAAGAAAGGGCTAGTGAGAGGTTTTTAAGGGAGTTCATGAGAAGCTATTACATGCTCGAATGAGCTTTTCTTTCAATATATAAATGTACCTGTCACTCTTCCCCTTCTTTTTTCTCTCCCCCTTGCCCTTAGCCCTACTCTGCATTTCCGAGAAGCTTCTGCTAGTTTTAGGAAAGGTTTGCAGCCACACAAGTCTTTCATTAGAAATTTAATGTGAAGTCATGGAATGGAAAAGGATCCCGATTCACAGTTCTCTGAATAGTAATTACAATAGTAATTACAATAAAATGTCTTTTGTAATTACTGAATAGTAATTACAAAAGACAGAGAAAATGCTTTATTGAAGGCACTGCTGTTAAAAAATTTTCATGAGAAATGATTACATGCTTGAATGAGACCTTCTTTGCAAATACTTATGTGGGCTTGTGTCTCTTCCCTTGCCCCCACATTCTGCAGTGACATTTCCAAAGATTCCTTAGAGAAGATCCTCACACAACTTGAGTGTCATTTCACATGGATGTTGCTGAAGGATGATGTTGATCCTGATGAATTAGAGGAAAGAATTCTTGAACAGATTTGCTTTTTGCAGTTCAGGTCCAAAGTCCGGAATTATAACCTGTTGGCTTATGTGAAGTACTTGAATGGCAAGAGGGAAGAAGCTCTGGAAAGCCTACAGAAAGCAAAAGAGGCTGCTGAAGAAGAGTACCCAGGAGACATTGAGAAAAACAGTCTTGTGACGTGGGGCAACTATGCGTGGCTGTACTGCCACATGGACAGACCCCCAGAAGCAGAGACCTATGTGAAAAGGGTGGAGAGTGTTTGCAAACAACACCAAAGCGATTCTCCTTATAAGATGACATTACCAGAGATCTACTGTGAAAAGGGGTGGGCCTTCCTCAAATTTGGGATAAAATATTATGAAAAAGCCAAGGAGAGTTTTGAAAAGGCCCTGCAAGAAGAACCTGAAAACCCAAAATTTAATGCCGGCTATGCCATCACAGTGTACCGCCTGGAGGAGTACTATGAAAGGAGATCTCCAGCAGCAGGCTCTTCGCTGGAACCCTTGAAGCGCGCAGTTACACTGAATCCGGATAACGCATTCGTCATGCCTCTCCTCGCATTAAAGTTGCAGGAAACCCATAAAGCTAAAGAAGGGGAAAAGTACATTGAAGAAGCCCTGTCAAAACACCCATATGATCCATATGTGCTGAGGTATGCTGCAATGTTTTACAGGAAAAAAGGTAATGTGGAAAAGCTCCTGTTGTGTTTGACAAAAGCATTAGAGTTGACGTCAAATTCTAGTTTCTTGCACCATCAGATGGGGCTTTGCTACAGAGCACAGTCCTTTGAAATGAAAAGGACCAAAGGAAAGTACCAATCTGGAAAAAAGATGGAGGAAATGATCAGGCTTATCATTTTTCATTTCCAGAAAGCGGTGGACCATAAACCCAAATTTTTCTATGCTTACTAGACCTTGCAGGTATCTATGCTGAAGGGAGGCAGCTTCAAAAAGCAGAAGAAACATTTCAGAATATATTGGTGAAGAAGAAACTAACCTGTGTCGAAAAGCAGGAATACCACTGGTGGTATGGGCATTTTCAAAAATCGAACAAAAAAATCAGAATTGGAAGCACTTGAGAACTACCTGGAAGGTGTGAAAATTGAAAGTTAATCAATTTGGAGAAAAAAGTGCAAATCTTGTCTGAGCAAATTAATAGAAAGGAAAATCAGCCAAGGCCAGGGAGATGCCAAATGTTTCAGCGTCCATGGTTTCATTGCCCAGCTTGATGGAAAAAAGCAGGAAGCAATTAAATACTATGAACAAGCCCTGGAACTGGACCCTGGAAATGAAGAATACCTCATTGCTATTTTGAACCTGAAGCTTTCCTTATAAAATGCAACTTCCCAACATGTGGTCACAGTGTGTTGAAGATGCAGCCCCAAGTTTATTATACAAGAACTGCTGCAAGATGGCCTGATTACCCTTGCACAGAGTTTGCAGTAGTCTGAAACTTGTATCACGGTTTTGAGACACATATATGGAAAAAATGATTGTCCCCACAGAACTGTTTTTTTCTGCCACCTGAGAACATCTTCTCTTGTTTTTCATGCGCAGGGTTGCCAGTACTTGAAATAATAATGCTGAAAATGTGTGTTATTTTGTCAAGGTCTGGAGGAAGGCGAGCAATACCTAAGTATTCAGCAACTGCATGCACTTCCAAGTCCTCTCCCATCAAGCAAGACCATGCACACACGATCCAGGCTGTAAATCTGCCTCAGAACAGGGATTTTCAACTGCTGGTCCATGAAAAAGCCGGCTACCAGCAGCAGGGCTAGCTGTGCTCTCCCTGCACATTCACCACCTCTGTCTTGGAGGGGGCAGGAAGGGGAGACACAGCTCAGTAGGAGCCAGCTGGGTGCCCCCCAGCACTAGGTTCACCCTCTGGGCAGGGCCCTGAAGACCAGGCCTTTTTCTGCTGTGTTGTAGTGTAGGGGAAATGTTTAGGCGGAGTTGTGTTGACTGCGTTTTCTTAGCCAATCAGTGCTGGAGTGTGTGGGGATTTGAGTGGATGGAGTTAGTTGCATTTATTATTTAACATTATGAATATTACTGCATTAAGTAACTTTGCTTGACTTTGTATTGCTCTGCTGTTAACGATGCATTTGAAATTGTTTTTGCTATGAGTATAGTATGGCATTTATATTGATTTGGTATTTTGCTCTTTGAATTTTTGATCAAGTATTCTTGAAAAGAAGCAGCAGCAGATTTCATACTAGGCTTATTTGAATTGCATATCACTCTCTAAAAATCTCAGTTGTAGTTGATTACGTTTAACATCATTAATTTATTCTTTTACTTTCTCATCCTTTTAGAAATTATATTAAAAAACGAATACAGAAAATACTATATTATGTATATACTGCTCTTTATTTTTGCTTCAGCGGTACCGCCCCCCCCCCCCCAAAATCCTATTTTCTCCGCTTCCCAACTGTAAAAAGGTTGAAAACCACTGCACTGGGGAACCATAAGAAGCCAGTGTGATGAGAGAGTGCAATCCTGGGGTTCAGGTTCCTGCCCCCACTTGCCCATGAAGCTCACTTGGTAACTTTGCGCCAGTCACTCACTCGCAGCCTAACCTACTGCACAGGATTGTTGTTGTGAGAACAAAATGGAGTTCTGCACACCACCTTGGGCTCCACACAAGAGGAAAAAAGGCGGGATATAAATGCAATACTATCCTCATCAGAGTAGGAGATCACTCAAGTAGATGAGCCAAGCAACAAGGCAGAGGTTACATTAAGCATATTCCTTAAATGATCAGGGAATTCAGCATGTGGAAAATATTCACCTATTGGGAGCCCTAAGGCTGCTTCAGAGGGTTCTTGATTCATCTGTGGCCAGAGAATTCAAAGTACATGCAATTCAAAGAACTGAAAAAGGGAGCCGTTTGCCATGTTCCAGCCAAGGCACAGATGTTACATAATCGAGCAATTAAATCGTCATTCGTGCACACCTGCACACTGTGGGGACCTGGCCTACTTTCTCCACTACTGCCAGGCAGCCTGAGTCGCTGAGGGTGCCACCGTGTGTTTTATCTGACTCACGCTCGTGGAAGCGGGATGAAGGGGCTGCACAGCGTGGGCCTCCGTCACAAGCGCCTCGCTGAAATTGCTCCCTGTTCTCACAGGGCAGAGTCGTACGGCCATCCTGAGCAAGCACGCGCGCCCCTTTAAGAACGCACTTTGCCCCTTACCAGAGCGCATCCTCTGAGGACGCGATCCTACACCCAGGCAAAAAAGCCCTACAACACCAGCAGCCCAGCCAGGCTGAGGGCAACATGAAAGTGAAAGGGAGAAACAACCACAAAAAGAACATAGCAAAAAAGTGTCTTTCTTCATTAGACCCGTTCGCAGCGCTTTTAATCACAAGGAAAGCTGGCGGCGGGTGGGGTGCGGTGGGGATGTTTTCTCTCTCAAATAGGAATGTTAACGTAAAGCGCCATAGATCGAAATCAGCGCTCCGGCGAAATGGATTATTGGAGGATATACCTGCAAAAGTGCCGAGCATAGACGAGAGCCACGCACGCACTCCCGTATTTGGGTTAAAAAAAATACCCAAATGCCTGGGTAAATCTCGACAACTCAACGAGCCTGAAAGGGTCGTTCGCGAAAGAATCCCCTCAGCACTCTCGGTTGCTTAGCCTCTAGGGCAGCCGCCCCAACCAGGGCTCTTCTCCAGAGTTTTGGCCTGCGACGAGGGGCGGGGGGCGTCCCAGGTTGGGCACGCTTTCTTTCTTCTGCTGGCTCGGCGCTCCTATTCACGCGGGAATCATGAGTTGAAAACGCAGCACCGTACTAATCCGACTTCACTTATCGTGGTGGGACAGATCAGTTGATCAATCAGTTGATCGATCTGCAGGGCCGATCGTGCCAGCTCTGCTGCGAAGACCAAGCCTTGCACGATGCAGCAGGAAGGCGCCCGCTTCCCTATCCGGGTGGGAGCGCCGCTGGTAGCGGAGCAACACTCGGTTTCGTTTTCTGAGAGGCGACTCTCCTCTTCGAGTTTCGCTTTCCCAGTAGCTGGAAGGAGCGAATAAAAGGGCCGCATTGCTGCGCTGGTCGCCGGTCGTCCTGAGCAGGCGATCAGCCCTGCTGAGAGAAAGGAGCTCGTTTCTTTTGCAAATAAGAACCCGAAGCCATGAGGTAAGTCACACCATTATCTTCTATGGCCGATTTTCTCTCAGACGAGATAAGAAGCAAAGTTGCTGCACTCAAAGTGAGCGGGGCTGGGCGCAAACAAGCTTTTCTTGAAATCACGCACGGCACAGCCGTGCCCCATGGACTTGCTTCTTGCTGCTGCTGCTGCTAGTCGCGAAGTCGTGTCCGACCCATCGCGACCCCATGGACAACATTCCTGCAGGCCTTCCTGTCCTCCACCATCCCCCGGAGTCCACTCAAGCTCACACCAACTGCTTCAGTGACTCCATCCAGCCACCTCATTCTCTGCTGTCCCCTTCTTCTTCTGCCTTCTATTGTGCCCAACATTAGGCTCTTCTCCAGGGAGTCCTTCCTTCTCATTAGGTGGCCAAAGTATTTGAGGTTCATCTTCAGCATCTGGCCTTCTAAAGAGCGGTCAGGGTTGATCTCCTCTAAGACTGACTGGTTTGATCTCCTTGCGGTCCAAGGGACTCACAGGAGTCTCCTCCAGCACCACAATTCAAAGGCCTCAATTCTTCCGTGCTCATCCTTCCTTGTGGTCCAACTTTCACAGCCATACACTGCAACTGGGAAAACCATAGCCTTGACTATACGCACATTTGTTGGCAGTGATGTCTCTGCTTAGCTGTGTGTAAGCCCTAGCGCCCAGTTTTGGATCGAGACCAGAGAGGTAAGGAGATTGTGCCCCTTATGCTTACTCACTCCCGCTCGTGTTTTCCTGCTGGGACGTTTTAATCGTCCTTTTAAAGACCTGCTTTTGGGGTGAGAGGGGATGTATCAGAAGATGGCCACATCTGGAGTAGGGTGTCAAAGGCAGATTGGAAAGATCAAGCAGATTTTGGAAAAAATAAAAAGCAGCCTTTACCAACCAGGTGCTCTCCAGTTGCATTGACCTCAGTCTCCAGCATTCCTGGCCAATGTCCCTGATGGTTAGGGGAGTTACCAGCTGCAGTCCAGCACTTCCAGAGGTGACCTGGTTAATATTTTATATCTTTGCCTTGCCTTGCATACCACCAATCCTAAGAAGTTGGTGGACATCTTTGGCCACATAAGCCCACACAGTCTGTAGTGATAAATTCTGAAGTGCAAGTGCTTATCATGGCAGAGAGTCTAAAATGGCAAGCAACTCTGTTGACTAGTAGTATGCACAGTCATGGCAGTTTTAATCTCCGCCAGGGGCAGAGGGGAGAGGAGATGCTGGCGTTATCCTTGCCATGAAAAAGGTATTGGCTCTGTATCCTTGTGGCTGGCACAGGCTGTAATCCTGTTGCTTTTATATCCATCTGCATGGGAGAAAAATGTGAAAGCTCTTGAGAAGCTTGCCTCTCCTTTGAGACAGTCCTGGAAGTTCTTTTCCAAGCCTAGTTCATGTTTTTGCGATGGAAAGAGAATGTAAAATTAGATTGACTCACCTCTAGATGGCCTCTTTTTTATGTTCTTAGCCAAAGTTGACTTAATTTGCGAACATACTCTGTCCACTATATTGGCCTTTCCGAGAAGCTTCTGCTAGTTTTAGGAAAAGTTTGAAGCCACACAGGTCTTTCATTAGAAATTTAATGTGAAGTCATGGGAATGGAAAAGGATCCCGATTCACAGTTCTCTGAATAGTAATTACAATAGTAATTCTACTGTTACTACAGCTGCGAGAATTAAGACATGCTTTATTGAAGGCACTGCTGTTAAAAAATTTTCATGAGAAATGATTACATGCTTGAATGAGACCTTCTTTGCAAATACTTATGTGGGCTTGTGTCTCTTCCCTTGCCCCCACATTCTGCAGTGACATTTCCAAAGATTCCTTAGAGAAGATCCTCACACAACTTGAGTGTCATTTCACATGGATGTTGCTGAAGGATGATGTTGATCCTGATGAATTAGAGGAAAGAATTCTTGAACAGATTTGCTTTTTGCAGTCCAGGTCCAAAGTCCGGAATTATAACCTGTTGGCTTATGTGAAGTACTTGAATGGCAAGAGGGAAGAAGCTCTGGAAAGCCTACAGAAAGCAAAAGAGGCTGCTGAAGAAGAGTACCCAGGAGACATTGAGAAAAACAGTCTTGTGACGTGGGGCAACTATGCGTGGCTGTACTGCCACATGGACAGACTCCCAGAAGCAGAGACCTATGTGAAAAGGGTGGAGAGTGTTTGCAAACAACACCAAAGCGATTCTCCTTATAAGATGACATTACCAGAGATCTACTGTGAAAAGGGGTGGGCCTTCCTCAAATTTGGGAAAAAATATTATGAAAAAGCCAAGGAGAGTTTTGAAAAGGCCCTGCAAGAAGAACCCGAAAACCCAGAATGTAATGCCGGCTATGCCATCACAGTGTACCGCCTGGAGGAGTACCATGAAAGGAGATCTGCAGCAGCAGGCTCTTCGCTGGAACCCTTGAAGCGCGCAGTTACACTGAATCCGGATAACGCATTCGTCCTGCCTCTCCTCGCATTAAAGTTGCAGGAAACCCATAAAGCTAAAGAAGGGGAAAAGTACATTGAAGAAGCCCTGTCAAAACACCCTTATGATCCATATGTGCTGAGGTATGCTGCAAAGTTTTACAGGAGAAAAGGTAATGTGGAAAAGCCCCTGTTGTGTTTGACAAAAGCATTAGAGTTGACGCCAAATTCTGGCTTCTTGCACCATCAGATGGGGCTTTGCTACAGAGCACAGTACTTTAAAATGAAAAAGGCAAAGGCAAGACACCAGGTCATCAAAGAGAATAAACTGCTCGAGCTTAGCATTTTTCATTTCCAGAAAGTGGTGGAGCGCAAAACCAAATTCATCTCTGCTTATCTAGACCTTGCAGGTATGTATGCTGAAGCAGGGCAGCTTAGGACTGCAGAGGAAACATATCGCAAGGTACTTGTAATGAGCAGATTAACATGTGCTGAAAAGCAGGAGATCCACTTCCGTTTTGGCCATTTCCAGGAATTTTACAAAAAGTCAGAATTGGAAGCTCTTAAGCACTATCTGGAAGGGCTCAAAATTGAAAATAACTCTTTTGAGAGAAATAAGTGCAAACATAACTTGGACAGATTAATAGATAAAAGAACCAAGAAAGGTCTGGTAGATGCTCTGTCTTTGGGTGGCCTTGCACTCATTTGCCAACTCAATGGGTTTAAGGAGGATGCAATTAAGTTCTATGAGCTTGCCCTGAAACGGGATCCTGGGAATGAAGAATTCCTCAGTGCCATTTTCAACTTGAAACTTTCCTTACAAAGCTAAACTTCACTATGAGTGTTGTCTTCATAAGATCTTCCTTAAGAACATGCAGGAGATAAAGTTAGCTTGCTTTGCAAAATACATACATTTGAGTTTGAAATGAACAGTAGGAAGAAGAATGGCTGAAAGAGTCAGGATGGTGTGCTACATTTAACCCCTTCTCAGGCTGATTAGCAGCTGGGTGACTGTCTGTACAACAGCCCTACATGATGCATCCTGGGTTTTCCAATGAGCAGGAAATGTGCAAATAACATCATAGTTAGTTACTACATTTGTAATCAGCTCAGTAATGCATGTTATCTGCCTTAAATATATTAAACATCCCAATTTCCACTGAATTAAATATGCTTGTGATGTACATTGCTTATCTAGAAGATGTGTGTATTTAACAAGATGGCCTGTATAATTGTATTTGGATGTTGCTTAGAATAAAAACTGTTGATGAATCTGGATTTGCCCTCTTTGTAATGTTTGATAAATACAGACTATCAGCGTATTTGTAGCAGTCGTGACAGCTATACCAAAGGTGTGTTTTAAATTAATTACTGATTGAGAAATTCCTAGATTTCTACACTTAGGCTGCAGTGCTACCACACTGAGGAACATAAGAGAAGCTGTAATGGTTCAGGCCATCACAGGAGTTTGCTCAGACAGTGACCAGTCAGTTGGGTACAACAGAACCCTCCCACCCATGGTCCCCAGCAACTGCTGTACATGGGCATAAGCTCCTTGGAACTTGATGGGACTTGCTTCTAAATAGACTTGCACAGAATTTTGCTGCTAACATCAAATCCAAAAGGGCCATTTGTAAAGATGCAGAAATCCTGCTTCCAATAGATTACAATTCTTCAGACTTCCCAAACTATATTGTGTCAACAATTATGGCTAATTTTCTTAAAATACTGTGTTCTGAAGGATTTCATCTGAACTGGAAAGCTTTCTGAGAAAGAACAATAAACTAAGAGGTCAGACTAGATGGCCTGAGAGACCTCTTCTGACTCACTCTGTTGCTTTTTCTAAGCACTGAAGACTTGACAGCATTCTGTTCGTATTGCTCCAGCTTTGCCCACACAGAAACATACATGCTGAAAATACAATAGAACTCTTCGCATTTCAAGATCTTACAGGCATTCCATCACAGGAATCATATCAGAATTAGCAGTTAATTACTTAGATGCTTGAACATCTAAGCTTGATGAAGGACAAACAGCTTGAAAAGAAACTAAGCCTTTTAGGGCAGTAGCACTTCACTGCAAATAAAGAACTTGCTACTTACATGCGAAATGGCTGTGCAGGCTGGGAATGGTAGGGATTGTAGTCTAACCTAAGATAACCAGTCTGATATAATTAGATTTTCTCTCATGTCAAAAATCCCTGCCCATGGAAAAGTCAGAGGAAAGGATCCTTTCTAACATTTTTCTCCCAACGCATTCATTTTTTATCTACTTAGAAATTATGTTTTATGTTCTTCTATGGGCATTCTGAAGTCACATAATCCCAAGGATCTAGTATCACAAGCTGCTATTTATCTGAACATAACATCAGATAAATGCAAATACTTTATTTGTGGCCTAGAATCTGGAAGTAGAATAGAAAAGCACCTATTGATGAGAATAGAGGCAGTAGTAGTTGGACAGTACACAAAAACCTTAAATAAATATCAAATTATAACAAGAAATTTAATTTTACTTCCACAGCCAGCTTGCCCAGGGTAAAATATGGCCAAGACTGTGTATCAGTTTGGGTAATGTGTATGTATCTAGCAGAATGCAGCTCAACAGGCATTTTTAAAAATTATGTCTATGTTTTGACAGATATTGTTGCTTGTGCACACCTTGATCCAGATAGGAACCCTGCACACTCAGTGCTAGATGCTTTGTGGTTTACATCTCATTTAGTTTAGCTCCTAGAAAAGGGTCTCCTGTTTCACTATGAACCTGCCTGACAAAGTAGAAATACCTTGCAGAGAAAACCTGTGAAGGACATCACTACCTGTCGAGAGCCATTCACTGGGCACTCATGAAAGCGGTGGAATGCACTCCCTCAAGAATACCGGCTGGGGCCACTCCGTTAACTTTTTAAAATATGTCGTTCTAAAGTCTTCATTTTTTAAAGTTCTTTGTGTTCCAGCTTTATTGTTTTAAATAGATGTTCACCTTGTTTGCTTTATAGAGTTCTCTGTTAATGACAGTTATAAATAAAAACAGATACTAGAAAGCTAAGCTAATGATAGTCTTTCAGGTTCAAAGGCCATGAGATGGTGGACTGTATCTAGCTGGTGTTTGGTGTTTTGTAAGGTCTGGTTTAGATAGAGACAGGAAAAGATCAGAAACAAAGGTTCAGTAAAAAGTTCCTTGAGGCTTGGTGGGATAAGTGGAATGGGATGGAGAATCAGGTATGCCAAAACAGAGAAGAGGAAATGGCTGCATGTACATGATCAAAAACTAAAATAGAGCACTCCCGCAATATGGAAAACCATATGGATAGGCAAATAACAGGTCTCTGGATTCAAGGGGACTTGTCCCCAGGACTGTATTCATATGATTGCACTTAGTAGACACAAATCCTCTATTATTATTTTATTATCACATGAGATTTATATCCTGCCTTTCTTCCTCTTGCAAGGAATCCGAGGCGGCTTGCAACTTTTGCCTCCTCTCCATTTTATTTTCACAACAGCCCTGTGAGGTAGGCTAGGCTGAGAGTTTGTGACTGGCCCAAAGTCACACAGCTTCATAGCTAAGTGGGAACTAGGACCTGGATCTCCCTGATCCCCAGTCCACCACTATAACCCCCATGCCACACTGGGTCTGTACATACTTACCTAAGAATAAGCTCCAGTGAACTCATGTCTGAATAGACAGAACTTTGAGAACACAATCCTATGTATGCTGAAACTGAAAAAAGTCCTGCTGGAACGTGTAGGGTTTTTTCTTTCCAAACATGCATAGGATTATTTCCTAAATGTACTAAAAGGTCTAATAATGTAGTGATTGAAAACACTACCTAATTCATGAAGTATTTATTTCTTAGACTGACAGTCTGACCCTTCATCTAGCCAGCACTGCACAGGATATGCATACTGGAATTCTTGCTCCATCTTGCATTTAGCAGGAACCTAGAGAGCATGTGTACAGTTGACTGGCCCATGGCTGCCCAATTTTAGGGTCTGGATATCCGTGTACCAGTGCAGGACACCATTTTTGCACTTTAGGACATGTTAGAGAGGATACCTCAGTAAAACCAGTACAAGTTTAGTACAATGTTACCAAGGCAATAAGAAAAAAATGCCTTGCAAGGGACAAATCAAGTTAGTAATATCTTACAGGAAAGTCTTTCCATCAGCCTTCCCCAACCTGGTGCTGTCCAGATGTGTTAGACTACAATTCCCAGCATCTGCACAGTATGTGTAACATTGAACATAGAAACATAGAAAACAGAGCGAGTCAGAAGGGGCCTCCCGGGCCATCTAGTCTGACCTCCGGCACCAGCCGGCTCCGCTCACGACATGCCCACCATGTGGACGTCCAGCCTATCCTTGAACACCCGCACTGATGGGGCCTCAACAACCTCTCGTGGAAGCCCATTCCACACCCTCGGGGTCCTGACTGTCAGGAAGTGCTTCCTGGCATCCAAACGAAACCTTGGCTCCCTGAGCTTTGCTCCGTTGGAGCGCGTCCTGCCTTCCTCTGCAGGGGAGAACAGGTCTCTACCCATCTCCATGTGACATCCCCTCACATACCTGTATGTTGCCAACATATCCCCTCTGAGTCTCCTCCAGGCTGAAGAGACCCAGTTCCCTCAGTCTCGCCTCATACGGCATCCCCTGCAAACCGGCCACCAACCTTGTGGCCCTACACTGAACTGACTCCAACCTGGCTATAGCCTTTCTGTAATGAGGGGCCCAAAACTGAACACAATACTCCAGTTGCAGGCGCACTAGAGTCGTGTATTATGGTAGTAATACCTCTCTTGATCTAGAAGCCACACTTCTGGCTATGCAACCAAGGGTGGTGTTCGCCCTCTTGACCACCGCATCACACTGCTGACTCATGTTTAGCCTGCAGTCAACCAGTACCCCGAGGTCCCTTTCACAAGTGCTGCTCTCTAGCCACTTGTCCCCTAACCTGTACTTATGACACCCATTCCTATGCCCCAAGTGCAAGACCTTGCACTTATCCACATTGAACACCATCCTGTTGCCTCCTGCCCACTTCCATAGTCTGTCCAGATCCTTTTGGATCTGGAGTACCTGCTCCTCAGTTGTGGCCACTGCTCCAGTTTTAGTGTCGTCTGCGAATTTGATCAGCAGACTGTTCACCCCTTCTTCCATGTCGTTAATGAAAAGATTAAACTCTGGGCAAGGTGTTGGAGTGGGTGGTGGCGGGACAGCTCCAAGCACTCTTGGATGAAACTGATTATCTGGACCCATTTCAGTCTGGCTTCAGACCCGGGTACGGAACTTAATCTGCCTTGGTCGCCCTGTATGATGACCTGTGCAGGGAGAGAGAGAGGGGGAGTGCGTCCCCATTGGTTCTTCTGGACCTCTCAGCGGCTTTCGATACCATCGACCATGGTATCCTTCTGGATAGGCTTGCGGGATTGGGGGTCGGAGGCACTACTTTGCAGTGGTTCCGCTCTTATCTCAATGACCGATTCCAGAAGGTGGTGCTGGGAGACTATGGCTCTGCACCATGGCAGCTATGCCATGGAGTACCGCAGGGGTCCATTTTGTCCTCTTTGCTGTTTAATGTCTACATGAAACCGCTGGGAGAGGTCATCAGGAGGTGTGGGCTGCAGAATCATCAGTACGCTGATGATACCCAGCTCTACCTCTCGTTTTCCACCAATCCAGGTGAGGCAGTGGCTGTACTGAACCGGTGCCTGGCCGAGGTAATGGGCTGGATGAGGGCCAATAAACTGAAGCTCAATTCAGACAAAACGGAGGTCCTGTTGGTTGGCGGATCGGGCTTTGGTGAGGGTGAATTGAACCTAGTCCTGAATGGGGTTGCACTCCCTCTTAGGGACAAGGTTTGCAGCTTGGGAGTGTTCCTTGACCCAGAGCTTTCACTGGAAGCTCAGGTGACAGCGGTGGCGAGGAGCGCTTTCTTTCAGCTTCGGCTGATCCATCAGCTGCGCCCCTACCTGGAGTACGACTGCGTGGCGACAGTGACACACGCGTTGGTGACTTCCTGACCTGAATTCTGTAATGCGCTCTACGTGGGGCTACCCTTGAAGACGGTCTGGATACTTCAATTGGTTCAAAATAGAGCTGCCAGGCTGCTGACGGGGACTGGGCGTTATGTTCACATGACTCCAGTCCTCCGTCAGCTTCACTGGCTTCCCATTGAAGTCCGGGCCCAATTCAAGGTGTTGGTGATGACCTATAAAGTCCTAGACGGCTTGGGTCCTGGTTACCTGAAGGAGCGCTTACGTCCATATATGCCCGCCC